CGCCCCGAGCCGAGTCCCCGCAGGCAGGAGCGGCAGCGGGGGCACAGCGGAGCCCCCCCGGCGCTGGCTATTTATGGCGCAGCCGGAGAGGTTGCGTAAATCCCGCCGGGGATCTGGGCCATCTTGTTCTGCCTGCTGCGGGAGGGAGCGCGGGGCCAGCCCTCCGCGCCGCGGGGACCCGCAGCACAGGACAGGGGACGGGCACGGGAAGAGGGCAGCACCAGCTGCAGGTGTGCCGTGCCTCCCAGGCCGGCTGGGGGTGAGCCCCTGGCGGCGCTGCCATCGCCCCAGTTCTCAGCCCCACACCACAGCCCTGTCCCGCTGCCTCCAGCAGCCAGGAGAGCTTCAGGCAGTAGCACTGCCCGAGAGCTGTGCTGGAGCATCAACATGGTCCCTGTGCCTAGGGAACGCAGCATGGATCAGGCCCGAGGTGACTGAGACAGCAGCCACTGGGGCCTAGGGACAGTCACACCAGGCAGGGCTGATGGCAGGGCCTTTCAGCAATCCTGGGAAAGGAACAGCCCCTTCCTCCAGGGCCCCAGTCAGGCCTGGGGCAGCTGCTTTATCCCTTCATCCCCTGGAGAACAAGCAGGGAGAGAGGAATCAAGTTTTTCTCCTTGAAGAAACGTTCTGCAAGAGAAACCAGCCAGAGAGCACCGATCTGCTACAGGAGGCTGCAGCCTCCCTCCAGGTCTGTGTTTAGAAGCAGCAGTCACAATCCTGCTGCCCCACAGCAAGCCTGGGAGAGATCTGCTGCATTCTGGCACTGAGCTGCACTTGTGTCCTTAGTCAATAGCTGACACTGCAGGTTTGGGAGGATCACAGAGGATACCCTCACCAAGGGCTCGGACACAGGGGGCAGAGGGGTCAACCCTGCTCCCCTGGAGGGGAGGTTAAATCAACCCCACCTCAGGACTCTGCTCTCCTGGGCACTCATCTGCACGGCAAACTGTAACCACCTCTCCAGGCAGACCAACAGGCACATTCCTGTGGGCAGATAAAAGCAGAGGGAGGGCAGTGACCCTCCAGCTGCCCAGCACAGGGAAGGCAGCAGGGTGACACATGGTGACAATCCAGCTGGAGCTGTCTTACCTCAGGCTGAGCCTGCCAGGAGCCATGATGCTGGGGCATCCCTGAGTGAGCTCCCTTGGGTGCTGCCAACCATGAGGACCAGGCTCTGGAGAGAAACCCAAGCCCTAGGGACTTCCAAGAGCCAGTGACTCATCTCATCAAACTTCCAGAGCTGAGGGACACAGCTGGCAGACTCTGCTGCACGTGGTGACATGCACAGCAACCTCCCACAGCAGGCAGCTTTCAGCTCCCGCGCTCTGTGCTCATCTTCAGGTACCCAAGAGGCAAGGGAAGAATCCTGCAGCCTCCCAGCCTTCTCCTTAAGCGAAGCATAGACCAAGAGCCACCCTTCCAGGCTCACTTGATCTCTGGGGAAGGCTCTTCTCAGCCAAGTCATTCACATTTTGTGAGCTGCTCAGGTGCTATGAAGCATTCAGAAGAGCCAGGACCGGTAAAACCCCTCCAGAAAGCACAAGACTTGCTGTCCCTGAAGCTGCAGGCTTGCCAGTGACCACATTTATTCCAGCTTTATAATAAAGAGCAAGACTTCCAAATCTCCTGGTCACAACAATGTTCAGTCGAGAAGTTTATGAGGTGATAAAGGCCAAGCACTTCAGCAATGCTTGCTGTGACAGACAGGATTTCCTTTGGTCTGGCTTGCAACAACATCCCAGCTTTCCCAGCTGGTCTGTCACATGCCAGCAGAGCAAGTTCAGAGCCCAGCTGGAGCTCAGGGCACTACGTGTGCCACCAGCAGTCAGTCATAGCTCCCTCAGCACTGCACCAGCCTCAGCAGAGCCACACAACATCCAGGGTGGCTGCAAGCTGCCGGGCAGCAGCCCCCGTGCTGGCAGGGCAGGTGACACTGCCCTGCAGGGACCAGCCCAGCATCCCCACATCCTACAGCCCTGCACAGACCAACCAGCACCCAACCCCAACACCACTGGGAGTCATCCAAGCTTCCCACAGCCCTTCCTCCCTAAAACCCAAACAGGGTGCAATTCTGCTTTGTAGAGTAGCCTCCAGGACAGCCATCTGGGAATGTCCAACAAAGGAGAGGGTGTGAGAGTAACAAACAGCCTTGTATCTCAAAGTTCTTCCCTTCGGGATCAGCTTATCTCTGCCTACTTGCCTGCAAGGTCACCCAGAGGCTCCTGGAGCAGCCCAGGGGGCACCTTCAACCCTGGGGGGGGTCCTGGGTCCAGCCTCACTCCTCCACTGCACCCAGCCAGGAGCAGCTGAAGCTTCCTGGCACTCATGACAGAGCAAGCAGGCAGTGTGGCATTCTCATAGCAGGGAAAAGAGCCAGACAACAGTATTATCTGCTCCCAGGATAGGAAAAGACTGTCTGAGTGAAGGGCAAGCACACAGCCTAGCAGTGGTCCTGGTGTTTTACTAGTTCTTCCCCTCAGAGAACACAGAGCCCAGACACCAGAGAGCCTGCCAGATTCTGTGAGTTTGGTGAGGTGACAAGACAAAGCACATTTTAGAGCATTCAACAGGGAACCAGTTTAATCAGATATCAGGTTTGCACCATTCTTTTCAGAATCACAAGTTCTGCATTTTTCTAAGAAATACAAAGCACTCTCAGGTTTACAGAATGCTGGTCCTGGGGAAAACAAGAGGGAGAGAACAAGACACCAGGATACAGACACACTGACCACCACACTGGGCAGCAGAAAGGAAACTGCTCATCCCCACCTCGCTGATGATAACAGCCCCTTTGCAGGAGGCAGAGAAATCCCAGGGGGTCTGTACTACCGCAGTGGGGCTGTGCCCTGCTGTCCCCACCCACCGAGGTCAGGATACCCCAGTGGAATCCTAGGACACCTCCACACCCCCATCAGCACGACACCAATGAACACACCGCTCCCACATACCAGAATGAAAACCCCCTGCATAAAGCCAGCTGACAAGCATCCAGGTTCATCTACTCTAGATAACATTAAACTCAGATCCAGGGTAAGTTACTTCATCCACAAGATTAACAGCTGATTCAATAGGTTGAACACATGCTACTTACAGCACATAAATAGAAGATACTCTTTTTTACTTAAAAAACGTGTGATGAAGGTCTAGGTCCGATTGCCTCGACACTGCTGCATGCACACAACTATCGGCCTCACAGAAGCAGCTGCGCTGGGCAGCAGGAAAGCTGTCTCTGCATCACCTATTCCAGGGGTCACGGGACAGCTATCCTGCCCCCATGCTCGGCATTAGCCACACAGCCAGGAAATAAATACGGCACTAGCCAGGAGTGGGCTTTAATACAAACTCTAATGGTTTTCAAAAGAAATATTAATCCATAAAGGGTTACAGTTAACAGATATCATCATCACTTTATTTCTCAGAGCCAGAAATAGAGCTGAACAAACAAACAACAACAAAAAAGAGACAGAGGATGTCATTTCCAGAAGTGCAACCAGGGTACAGGGTAGCTCTCAGCGAGACGAAGGGCTTCTGCAGCTGGGAGAGGAGGGGAGCCATGGCAGAAGATGGCAGCTCCCGCTCCCGGCGGGCGCCTGACCTTGCGACGCTCTCCGAGGGGATTTGTCACCACAGCCTCCACCCCACCCCGCTACCGAGACCCACAGCGTGTGGGAACACCGAGTACCCCAGCACCCACCGAGCCAGGGAGCTGCAAGGAGGTGATTTACAGGGATGTACCCAAAAATAGAGACCTTAAAATAAACAGGACCAAAGCTTCTTTACAGTAGGCAATGCACTAGGTTTTACCATGAACAAAACTAAGACTAACAGCCACTTCTTGCCAATGGAGAAACTTTTTCTCCTCTTCGTGTTTTCCAGCCCCCTGCCCTCGCAGCTGCAGTGCGGCCAGGATGGCATTGCTGAGGATGGAGGCGGGGGCACGGCAGCAGCGAGTACACACCAGGGCGAGCAGGGCCAGCCGGGGGGGGCCCTGCACAGTCCCAGGGCTGGTGGAGGGGAGAGGCAGCCAGGAGTGCCTGTGTCCATCCCCTTGCCCGCTACAACAATCCTCAGCAGCTACCAGCAGCCCTGCAGCTGTGATCCAGCTGCCTCCTCCAAAATCACTTCTTCCAGAGGGAAGAGAGGCAGAGTAGGGGCACAAGCAGGGCCTGACCTCAATCATGCTCGCCCGGCACCCTGACACAGCCCAGGCCGGGGGAGCCAGTGAAGGGCTGGCGGGGTGCTGCCAGGGCTCACCACCCAGCCCGGGCTGAGGGGCAGGACGGGGAACCCCAGCCCCACTGGGAGAGGAGGTGAGGCGGTGGTGAGACGGGAACTGGGGGCAGGGGGTCGGGGGGCAGCGCTCACTTCTTGGAGCTCTGCGTCTTCTTGGGCAGCAGCACGGCCTGGATGTTGGGCAGGACGCCGCCCTGGGCGATGGTCACGCCGCCCAGCAGCTTGTTGAGCTCCTCGTCGTTGCGGATGGCGAGCTGCAGGTGCCGCGGGATGATGCGCGTCTTCTTGTTGTCGCGGGCCGCGTTGCCCGCCAGCTCCAGGATCTCAGCCGACAGGTACTCCAGCACGGCCGCCAGGTACACCGGCGCCCCGGCGCCCACCCGCTCCGCGTAGTTACCCTTCCGCAGCAGCCGGTGCACCCGCCCCACGGGGAACTGCAGCCCGGCCCGCGACGAGCGCGACTTGGCCTTGGCCCGCGCCTTTCC